GTCATCATCAGGTACCAAAACCTTGTCGAAACGTTGTACATTTGCTGTCATGTTAAACTTATATTAAAGTTTTTCTTCATTACCCATTTAAGCCGTCTCCAGCCATTATTAAGGAAGAAGAAAGGTGACAAGCAAAAGGCGAATCAAAACCGTGAGACCACGAGGTGAAGCCTTGGGGTAAAACATGCAAGGTGCTTGTTGTGCAAGTCACTTTTCTTTTATACTAAACACATCCGGTGTTTTTTCATATGACAAATATTAATATACTATTTATATGATAATACTATTTGCGCTACTTTCTCTCAGATATTATTCTTTGCATTTAAAAAATAATATTTATTATTCATTAGATGTTCTTGTAGGAGGTATTATGTTGTATCTTTATTCGTAACTTCACGATCTGCTAACACAGTTGAGTATTTTGCATAATTTATTATATGAGTTGGTTGTTGTTTATTATTAAATTTACGTAATGTCATTTAATGTATTATTGTGTAATTGAGGAGTATAACAGCAACGTTTACACACGAAAAGGTTCCTATTACAGCCGTGTTTAGGGTGGTAAAATGGTCTTCGTCGGGGTGTTATCGTAGGTGGCCCTGCAGTGAGTGACGAGTAATAGCTTTTTATGTATTTTTCATAGTCGAAGAATTTTAAGAGACAATTTTAATGATTTTGCATTTTGAAAATATTTAACTTTTCTTGTTTCAGTAAATTCATGACTGTATTGTAGACAAACTATTACTACTAGTAAAATTTTTCATAACTCGGGGTACTGGTGTAAACTTTAGTTTGAAGTTTAAATTTAACACTAACAGTAAAGACAAGGTATTTTCAATGTCATATTCAATTCATGGTCAAGTTCAAAATGCCTCGCTGTTTATTCCAGTAAGCTTGGAGGGTAAAGGGTACTTACTACTGTAGGATTAGAAAGAGTTTTGAAAGTAGCTGCTCTAAATTAAAGTAAAATGCGTTAGTTTATCATTATCAATTTTCTTTGTAACTGTAAGTTGTAAACACAGTTATACTTGTAAAAATAATGAATGTATACAGTAAGCTGAATATTGTTTTAAAATAGATATATAAGTTATAACAGTGAAAAGGAAAGAGGGGATGACCAAGTCCTTTAAATACTTCTTGGCTGTCTATTCACAGTGAAAGCCACTACTGTTGTACTATATAATAAAATATATGATGTCAAGTGTTTGGGGTTTCATGAATTAGCATATAGGAATGTCAAGACATTTATATTAGTAAAGAAAGTCAGCAAAATGACAGATTAGTAGCATTAAAACTGTCTAACTTAAAATATAAAAATATTTCAGATAATTAGGAATATGACAATGTAGCAGACCAGATTTCGTTAACTAAACTTTGGTCCTACAAAATATTATCAAGAAACATGAAGACAGACAGTCCATTGATCTTGTAGACCTTATTATGTGAAAACTATATGTTTACTGTGTGCTGTGTCTCTCATAGCCTATGAATCTCACCAAAGCCAGGAAGGCCCATGTAATTTGAGCTAATACACAAAAGTTTTGTAAAGCAAATGAGTAAAAAAATCGTTCAGATGAAGAAGTCTTTATGTTTAACAAAAAGCTAGTAAAATCTTAAAAGTACAATAATTATGCCCACTTCTGATCATTAGTAAACATGGTTATGCATCCTGATCAGTATGGCAGATCTCTTGCACCATATTTTTTAACATGTTAGTCTGCTACAGTTTAATATTCCTAAATATGTTAAATATTTTGATGTTTTTCAGTGAGGTAGTTTGTTTTAATGCTATTTCTCTGTCATGTTACTGACTTTTTATTAAAATAACTGTATTGATTCTTGTCATTGTTGCTAATATGTGAGTCTGCAATGTTTGTTTTGAAAACTTCTGAGTTTTCAGGAAACACTAAATATGATAGGAGATTAAATAAATTGTTTACTGTTATCTTGTAATTTTTAGTATATATATATGGTTGTAATCAAATTTTGGGATATCTTCTCTGTCTTTTTAATTATCATATTCTGAATTACAGTTTTTCTAGAGCTAGTTATATTTATTATTTAGATAATAAATTAAAAATGAATTGTATATTATAACATATTTAACTATTATTAATTATAATGGGTTTTTGCCATCATTTATACTATGCATCCAAATGTGTGTTTGAATAATTTGTTATAGTTCTGATGAATAGATTAAGCTTGTCTTTATAATTATGTGTATTTAACATTTAAGAGTTTTAAAATGTAAAACAAGTAATTTTTCTATATTATATTGAATCTAGAATATATTTAATGTTTGAAAAATCTGTAACACTAACTATACCATAACTTACTTCTAGAACAAGCACTCTGACATGACCACTGTGCCAACAGTACTAACAGCTGATAGTTCCAATCACCAATTTAGAAGGTTTTCCAGTCAGACAGATCCTGATGAAATAAACATCAGCTCTCACTCTAACACCATTTCTGATGGAGGTGCATTTGTTAGTGTTGAAGTAAGTTTAACATAAATTTAACATCATTCATAGAATCTACATCACCAGTAGTTATACTACTACTACTACTAGTTTTTAAATGACATGGAATCATTCAAATTTCTGTGCAAGTGGAAATACACAAATATACATCACTTCTTTGATTAGATATTACACGTAGTGTGTATTTACTATATATTTACAAATATTCACACTCAGTCTATAGAGACAAAACAATTAAGAATAAATAAACTAAATTAAGTAAGTAAAACTTGTAGTGACTAAATTTATATCCAGTCTTCACCTTAGTACTTACTGTTAATACCAATGTTATGTCACACATCTATGTTTGTCATATTTTGTGATATAATTTCCACTTTTTTACCAATGCCATGCTATAAGGAGATGATCACACCATATACCAATAGTTTTAGGGAAGGATGTCTTAATTTCTAGTACTTAATGTGCACATTTTGTTTTCTATGTATGTGTCCCAGTTGTGGATTTCACCAAACCACATTTTTTGCCCTTATTTTAAGATTTAATATAAATAATATAAATGTTTGAATTATATTAGGCTTTATATGCAGAAGAGATCTTCAAATTTGCATACACATACACATTTTTTGCCCTTATTTTAAGATTTAATATAAATAATATAAATGTTTGAACTATATTAGGCTTTATATGCAGAAGAGATCTTCAAATTTGCATACACATACACGCAAACACGTGTGTGTGTGTGTGTATATATATATCAATTTGCAGATGTCTTCTGCTCCTGCTTTTCCTGAACTATCAATAGAGGATGGGGTCAGCAGGAATCAAAAATTGTTACAGTTTAGTGGATATTGTTTAACACATTGAAATCATTTGTCCCCAGACTTTACCTTTTGGTTGTAGCATAATTTGATAATAACAACCAATGCATTAATAGTGAATACAATATATTTATGGTAAAAAATGTGTTCACCAAGCATTTTATGTCTGATTTAAAACATGTAATTCAAGGTGTGCTGATTAGTTGGCAGCTAATGTTTAATCAGCCTAGTCAGTTACAAGACAATTAATGGATGATAATTGACACCAGTTACTATGGTAATGAACAGATATAATAAATGAGATTTTGAAAGTTTTTATTGATAAAAATACTCAAATTAACCATTACAATAAACAGCAATTTCTGAGACGATACCCTTTCACACAGAATAGCTTTGTCCCTTGTGTATCAGCCTATGAAACTTGCATACCACTAGCCTTGACCTAACTCCCACCTAAAAATCATAGTGAATGATGACATAATCGTGTGATGATAACCTTCCAGGAATAGGAGAGTGACACAACCTTCTTGTGCAGTAACTCCCACTAAACAATTGTGTTTGCAACAACCACTTTTTTGTTCTCGGTATGGTTTAGAATGAATGTATTTTTAAAATTAGTAATCAATTACATGAGATTTGTTATAGCATATGAAATTTAGATTTTATTTCAATTTCAATGGTCTCTTTTGTTACCAAAGAAAAAGAAAACATTTTCTTTCTTACTCATTATGAATTCTCAAACGATTGTAACTTTCACTTTTTTCCATGATTGTGATGATGTTCCTAATGCGGGACCTGTGTTTATTGTGGTTACTGAGGATTTATTGTTTCTGGTGGATGTGAAAGCCATTGTTCAATGTGGTGTGGATTCCTTCATGCACACGAAGCCTCCTCATCTCATCCATTTGACAGACATTTCTACTCCCTAATTTGAAAATGATTAGGATAGTTTGACTGGCTACTTCCTCCATCAGGGTTTGCTTTAGGCACAGCTTTATCCACGAAGGAAAATTCTCACCTTTCTAATCTTTCTTGAAATGATTTTGCAGGTATGTTTTTTCTTTCTTTTCCCCCTTTGTCTTTTGATTCTCTTTTGTGCTTTACTGCATGAAACTCATACTCAAGAATACTTTGTCTTTTCTATTTCACCTGACAATAAGGTCCATGCAGAAGTGTTTCTCATACAACTGCATATTCTACCATGTCTCATCCTTGACTACTTGACACCTGGTTATTCCTCTCATATTTTTGTGGCCCCCAAGAAGACTGGTAACTGACATCTGGTTTTCAACCTGTTATCTCTCAACCAGTTTATCATCATTCAGTTCCTTAGAGAGGGATTATTTTCTCTCCAATTGGTTCTTTTCACCAAGAATGGGAATGACCAAGGTTGGTGTTTTGGACACCTTTTTACACGTTCCAATTGCACCATCTTCTAGATGTTTTTTTTTGTTTCATCCATCTGGATCAGATCTTCCAGTGCCATGCTCTTTCTTTTGGCATTGCATCTGTTCCTTATATCTTTATTCAAGTCATGGGACATTTGCCTGCCTTGTTTATGGATTGGGACTGAGGTTCTGTTTTTTTGCATGGATGATTGGCTTCTCGCCCCTTCTCAAGAGGACCCCTTCTCTCACAGCTACGTTCTTCTATAGGAGGCTGCTTGACTGGGCCACCTTATCAAGCTTTCCAAGTCGTTTCTCATGCCTGCCTTATAATTAGTACATCTGGGCATGTTCGAAACTCCCATCTCAGTTGTGTTCAACCTTATCTATGCCTTTGATGCTCTCAACACTAAGATTCCCCTTTTTGGTTTCCCAAATTTCTCATCCTTCAACCCTTCTGGTTGATGCTCTCAGCCAGGACTGGGCTTACTTTTTCTGTATAACTGTTTTCTTATTCCTCTTCTCCCTCATGTCTTTGCTTTGATATTTGACACTCCTTGTTGGATCCTGTTGGTGGCTCCTCTTTGGCCAGTGCAACCCTGATTTCCTCTACTTTGTCAATTGGCATCCAGACCCCCTCTTTCTCTGTCCCATTTCCACTTTCTCTTGTTCCAACCACATCTCTCCTTCAACCTGGGGTGTTATTCCTTCATCTTCACTTGTGGAATTTATCCAGTCCATTACCTGCAGGGCTGGATTTTTCAGTCAGGTATCCTATTTCTTATTCCATTCTGTTGTCTTTCAACTATGTTCATCTATCAACAGATGCAATGTTTGTTTGTTTTTTGTTTTATACTGGTCCATCAATTTCTCCCTACCTTGGCCCACTTTTGATTTTTACACTTGGTTGTTCAGCATGGGATTGTCAGTTTCCACTATTGCTGGTTCTTGGCCAGCTTTATCAACTACATTTTGTCCTTTCCATTACTATCAGGTTTTTCTCCTGTCCTTTCCACTTTGTTCTGATTCTTCCTTCTTCACTGACCCCCTTGTCCTACTCCCATGCCTGATTGAGACTTGGATGTGGTTTTTCATGCTCTTACATGTGCTCCATTCAAGCCATTGGCTTCATATTCATATACTCTCTTTCTGTGAAGAAATGTTTTCTTCTCCTCACCGTCATTTGAATGTATATTCTATTGTTGCTTCCTGCACTCTCATTCACAACACTTACTCTTCTATCTAGACTGGGCCTTTCTTTGCGAGACTTTGCTGCTGGGAAAGGTGATCATTCTTTCACATTTCATTGCATTAGATTTGTTAACTGTCTAATTCTTGTCTCATTTTCACTGATATTTATATAAAATCCTTCAGGCTATCATGCGGATGAATCCATACAAATTTGTCTTCCATTATTTTTATCATCTGGTTGTTTTGTCTCATTTGGGATTTCGATTCTTTCCAGTTGCTGTTCTTCAATGAAATTGCACACCATCTTTGAGAAGGGTAAGTACACTTTTTTTTTCCCCACCCTTTTCTCTGTTATAGGATACCACCAGGCCATGTCTATTGTTCAATTTGGAGCATGATGATAGGTAAAACAAAATACAAGGCCTAGCTAACTAATGAATGAATATTTGCTTTAAAATTCTTATTAATGCTATTGGTGTAGCTACCAGCTTGGCTAACAATATTGATTTCATTCTTTTAAGTTGCATGCTCAATACTTTTTTTGGTGCACCTTTTTATCACATGGCTTTTTGTCAAAACACACTAACAAAAGTAAGAAATTGACACTTGATAGCAACCAACATTAGCTTTAGGATCGCAACCCTATTATTCAGAACAGATCTATACTGTACAGAACCAACCAGTTTCTTTAAAATATATGGTGGTAGTTTTTTCTCTAAAACAATGTTAATAACTTGCTTTATAGTAACTCCATCGAATCTAGATTAACAGTTTCTTGTCATCACTCGCATGCATTTGGTACAGCCATATCGAGCATCATTATTTATGCTAATTGAATAAATGTGTGCCTTAAAGTTGGCATTGAATAATAACTATCCACCCATATGATTCTTTTGAAAACTTGAGCTAGAAACTGTTAATTTTGTTAGTTTGGCCTAACTAATACTTACGTATTTGCACATGCTTTCACCCTTTAGTTTTTCAAAAATCATCAGCCTTTAATCCGAATGACAAAAATGTTCACTTTTACTCTTAGGCGAAGCTGTAGTAAAATTTTTAGATTGATAGCTCATGTGACTTGTTACACAGGCATGCTCAGAAATTTTGGTTAAAATTGTGTGGTTTCTGTTGAATAACTTTGTACATGTGGCTTATATTCAGATCAAATTTGACACCTAATTGTAGGTTGTAAAGATCTATCAGTGTACCAAATTTGAGAAAAACCCATGAAAGTTAACTTTATTTTTCTATCAAATAAATATCCGTACTTTCGATGCAAAGAAAACAAAATAGGAAGAAATTCAATCAGTATTGGATATCTTATATCTCGTGTGTTTCATAATGAATTTCCTTGAAATTTGGTAAGTGAAGTAAGGGTCCAGTAGAGTACATCCACTGAAAATATGTGATAGTTTTGATTACCACAGTCTGAGCTACAAATAGTGGAATATTGCTAAACTATTACTCCTGTTAATTAACACCCAGTGTGTCCTGCAAGTTGTTTTGGCTGCACAACACACTACTGTGTGTCTTGATCTTCATGGTAATAAAATTAGTCAATTGCCTGATTCAAGACTTTACCATTCCATGGACTATTATGGAAAAAGCTGGCACCAGAGAAGTG